GGTAAAATTAATAATCACTCGTCTCAGGAATGGATTTACTCATGTATGGAGGGAGAGTTGAGGAGTTCCTGATCAATAAGATGCTCTACTGCATCACTCTTGCCCTTCACTCGGGCGACAAGGGACAGCAGTTTGAAGATGGCGGTCGCCTGTTCGTGTACGATTTGTTCCAGGGGATCCTGAATCTGGACGGAGGAAGAGAGAGAAGAATACCGTTGGATTCAAGGACTGGAATGTAGGAATGTGATGTGAATTGGATAACCCGTGTCGACCCTTACCAGAATGTCTGTAAATGCCACTCGGTAAATGTTCGTATTTCCTGTTTTCAGAACACTGCTAACAATCGTGAACCATCTGAAATATCTTGTGACGGAGCAGTCAGTGGTGCCTCCATAAAGATTTTCACACCATCTTCCTACTGGCCTTATGTATACCAGCAGTTGTAGATCCGTTGCTTTCACCCTGTCAGTACTTCAATCGCATTCCAAGTCCACCAACACTTGGGTTGTTTTAGCGCCAGATCGTGGGTACAAAGCTCCAAGAAAGTGACTGTTGTGCAAAGTCATTTGCATGAGAAAAGCATTACAATATCAAACTGTTCTCAATTTTGTAGACTAATGTTTGCAAGAAATAACCGTAAAGGTGTATTTACATGTATTTCATAATAAGAGGTCAGCTTTTAAAAAAGATGCATTTACGTGTCGATATGCCAATGAATACAATGTGCAACAAATGTAAACGCAGAAAATGACATTTGTTATTCAGCAAAATTTTTGTGGGTTACAATTATGTACAACAGGTAATACTGGATAAAAATGTGTAGCTAGCTCCTGGTTTATTTTCTTCACTCTCGCACTTATACGTTTCAAACGAAGTGATTAATTGTTTGGGTTGTTTTGAGAGCTGCCAAAAATCAGCACAAGTTTATGGCGGTTGGGATGCTGGACTGTTTTTCTACCTCTAGGAATCCTGGAGTCGAATTTATCACAAAGTTGGTACATATTGCTCTCGTTTACCATTAGGGGTACATTTAAACAGCATAAGCATTCTGTAGCCCTTGTGTCTTTCAA